TCCGTCCATAGTTCATCAGGCTCTCTGTCTATCAGATCTAGTCCCTTAAATCTATTTCTCACTTCCACTGTATAGTCATAAAGGATTTGATTTAGGTCATACCTGAATGGTCTGGTGATTTTCCCTACTTTCTTCAGGAATTTGGCAATAAGCAGTTCATGATCTGAGCCACAGTCAGCTCCTGGTCTTGTTTTTGCTGACTGTATAGAGCTTTTCCATCTTTGGCTGCAAAGAATATAATCAATCTGATTTCGGTGTTGACCATCTGGTGATGTCCATGTGTAGACTCTTCTCTTGTGTTGTTCGAAGAAGGTGTTTGCTATGACCAGTGCATTCTCTTGGCAGAACTCTATTAGCCTTTGCCCTGCTTCATTTTGTACCCCAAGGCCAAATGTGCCTGTTACTCCAAGTGTTTCTTGACTTCCTACTTTTGCATTCCAGTCCCCTATAATGAAAAGGACATCCTTTTAGGGTGTTAGTTCTAGAAGGTCTTGTAAGTCTTCATAGAACTGTTCAACATCAGCCTCTTCAGCGTTACTGGTCGGGACACAGACTTGGATTACCGTGATATTGAATAGTTTGTCACACTCACATGAACAATGTCACACTCACATGAACAATGTTTTTTTATCTTCTGCAAAACTCCAGTTAAAGACACTGCTCATCATCATTCTTGGGTTCTTTATCCTAAGATTTACACAAATTTTTCTTGGACTGAGAGCCAGAAAAGGATTCTCTCTCCCAAAATTGTTATGTTTCTTTTTATCAGATAAGAACTTTAACAACTGGTGTGTTCATTTTTGGAATTTAGTTCATGTATACTGACACTTGAAAACAGCACTAAATTTTAATGTTCTAAGTACAATTACTATCTTACCTCAGTTTCTAGACAGAATTTTCTTCCCATTCCATCTTTATGGTTTCTAATCTGTCTGACTTTAACATTTCTTTTGTATATTCGTCCTCACTCTAAACTACGTCAAACCCTTGGAATTAGATGGGGCACCAAAAACAAAACACTGGAACAGGACCCAAACTCTGCCTTACGAGCGGAAATAGAAACTCTTTCAATGTATCTCTAGGATTTATCAAGAGAGAGAATTAAAGAGCAGTAAAGAAAAATGCTGATAAATGCTCTTTGTCTTGGTGACCAAACTATTCCACCTGGGACACCAGTGAGCATACTTTACAATGGAGACACATCCAAGGCAATTATTAGGAACATTTGCCCGTGGGTATTTTTCCTTTTCTTCTCTCCTCATTCTTCTCCCTTTTTAACTTATTTGGTTTTACTTCAGGCCCACTGGGAACACTTAGGTATGAGCTGAGTGATACGGGAGCTAAAGAAGAGTTGCATATTTGTCAGATTATATACTCAGAGCCACTGCATTGTTTGTGTTTCACATCTCACAAAGAAAAGTCACAAGGGACACATTTGAGCATCAGTACTTACTGAACACTGTGAATAATTCATCTGAAATCTACACAGATACATGAGCCTTAAGCTTAAGAACTGAAATCAAATTTCTATTTCTGGTCAAGTAACATCCCTTAAACTCAATTATCACCCCCAAATCTGAAACGAATGTTCAACCACCCGTTTCTTTAAAATATTTATATATCACCACAGTTTTAATTAAATTCTGATACTGCCACATTTATTTAATACCTCAATTTAAAAAGCCATCAAATTAAGCTACAGCATGTTATATGAAAGACTGAAGGCAGGAGAAGGGGACAACAGAGGACCAGATGGTTAGATGGCATCACTGATTCAATGGACATTAGTTTGAGCAAGCTCTGGGAGATGGTGAAGGACAGGGAAGCCTGGCGTGCTTCAGTCCATGGGGTCACAAAGAGTAGGACACGACTGAGCAACTGAACAACCACAAATTCATTCCCAATGTTTTCCATTTTTATATTTTAATTTGAAATCTTTACATCATAAAAGGCTCAGATTAGAAATGCCATTATTTATTGACATTTTTTCTAAACATACCAAGTACAAAGAATGAGATCAAAGATCAAGAATAGTGAAGAAAAAGAAGGTAGATGATGCAATTTACACCAGGGCTTTATTATACGCATCTTTTTTTTTAAGGAGACTCTTCTTTCTTTTGGGCTTCCCCGGTGGGTGGCTCAGACAGTAAAGTGTCTGCCTGCAATGCGGGAGACCAAGGTTCGATCCCTGGATTGGGAAGATCCCCTGGAGAAGGAAATGGCAGCCCACTCCAGTACTCTTGCCTGGAAAATCCCATGGACGGAGCAGCCTGGTAGGCTACAGTCCATGGGGTCACAAAGAGTCAGACACAACTGAGTGACTTCACTTTCACTTTGCTTTCTTTTAGGAAACTCAGGTATATTGAGACAAATAACCAATACTGATTATCATCCCCCTAGCCAATCAGGTAAATTAATTTTGCACGATATACTTTTTAAACAAGTGTATGTGGCAGAGAAGGTGAGAGAAGGTGGCTGGAAAGGCTTGCTTTACTTGTTGGTTTCAAATCTTACCAGCTTTNCAAAGAATTGGAGTTTCAGCTTCAGCATCAGTCCTTCCAATGAATATTCAGGACTGATTTTCTTTAGGATGGACTGGATGGATCTCCTTGCATATACAACTATAGAAAAAATTTTATCTTGTTTACCCAGTGAATCAGGTAGCCCATTTCTACAAGACCATGTCAGAATAAGATGGGACCTATATTTTACAACTGCATAAAAATAAAATTATTCAAGTGAGTAAATTTTCAAATTGCTCTTGTTCTGCATCAATCTTCTGTGGAAAGAGTAAAGGAAGGGATCAGTGGGGAGAGACGATCCTTTGAAACAGTTATTAGATCAGATGTACATACAAGTTAAAATATTACAGTAAAAAAGAATAAGAAGTCAGTCATCAGAACAGCAATGTTTTCCCTGTCCAGGCTGCTTGGATAGTTTTTGGTAACCTTATTGACTCAAACAAAATTACCTGTATTTGAAAAAAAAGAAAAAGTCTGCTGCATTTCTGAAATACAATGAAGCCGTGATTGTATAGTGGTTAGCACTCTGCGTTGTGAAATACAATGAAGACTCTCCTAGGGAATCATCTTATAATGTCTGAGTAACTGTGGTAAACACAATAAGAGCCCTCCAAAGATGCCCGTGTTCTACTCTTTGGATTTGTAAATACACTAGTTCAAATACAGCAAAGACGGTTTTGCAGATGTGATTAAGGGTAAGGAATTTGAGGTGGGGAGATTTTTCTGCATTACCTGTGTAGGTTCAATTAAATCACACGCATCCTTAAAAGCAGAGAACCTGTCCCTGCTGTGGCCAGAGCAGACAGGACAGAACCTGTCCCATCTGTGACAACAGACGGAGAGCCAAACAGATGCAATGTTATTAGTTTTGAAGGAGGAGGAAGGAGGCTACTAGTCAAGGAATGTGGTGGCCTCTAAAAGCAGGACTTCAAAGGCAAGCAAATAGATTCTCCCCTGGAGCCTCCAGAAAGGAACACAACCCTGACAGTAACTTGATTATAGCTCAGTGAATCCTGTATCAGACTTCTGCCCCACAGAACTATAGGATTATAAATTTGTGTGGTTTTAAGCTACCAATCTTGGAGTAATACATTACAGCCGCACAGAAAACTAATACACTCGTACAGATAATGAAGAGAATTTCTTCTTTGACAAAGGAATGGGATGTCCTGTTAAAGAATAAAAACTACCTAGTGAATTAGCAAAATTTAAGGTAGAGCCTTTCCATACAAATATGTAAATATATGCTTTAAATCTACTTTAAACCTTCCACACGAGAAACCCAATGTTAAATGTTACAAATGGGTCAGTCAATAAATCTGGTTCTCATGTCACCCAGCTCCCTAGGCCAAAACCAAGTCTGTGAAACTAGAAAAAAAGGCCAGTACAGGGCAACCACTCTCCCCACTCCTCTGGATTACTCACTCAATGAATTCCTCTTTACACTGCTGTAGCATCTCACATGTCTGCTGGATCTCTTGCTCACTCAAAAGCACCAACATCCCAATAGTTAGGTGAAGCTTTTTAGGATTCTGGAAAATGCTGCTATCAACCCCATGATCCTGTTATCAAAGGGAGAAAAACAAGAAACTCAGCCCATACAAAACTAAATGGCAGGAACAGAACTGAGCAGAAAGAAATAAACTCACATATCCATGACCAACTGACTTTTCAACCAGGGTGCCAGGACAATTTAGTGGGGAAAGAAGAGCCTCTTTAACAAATGATATTGGGACAACTGAATACCTACATGCAAAAGAATGAAATTGAACCCATACCTTATGCTATATACAAAACCTATATCAAAATGGATCAATGATACGGGAGCCAAAAACCATATAATCACAAAACTCCTAAAAGACAGGAAAATCTTCATGACCTTGGATTTGGTAACAGATTCTTAGATATGACACCAGTAGTATGGCAACAAAAGAAAAATTAGGTAAATCAAACTTCATACTTTAAAACTTTTGTGTATCAAAGGACTATCAAGAAAGTAAAAAAGACAACCTAAAGAATGGGAGAAATATTTGTAAACCATATACCAGATAAGGGTCATACAGCAGGCATAATATATAAAGAACACTTACATAGCTCAACAACTAAATCAATTTAAAAAACAGAAAAAGGACTTGAGTAAACATTTCTCCAAAGAATAGAAATGGCTAACGACTACATGAAGATGTTCAGTGTCTTCAGCCATTAAGGGAAATGCAAGTCAAAACTACAGTGAGTTGCCATTTCACACCCATCAGGCTGGTTATAATCCAAAGAGTGGAAAACACCAGGTGCTGGCAAGGATGTGTATCAGGGCTATGAGATTCCCTTTAGGGGTGATAAAAACATTTGAAATGTTACAGAATTGGTAGTTGCACAACACTGCTAATGGACAAAATGCCACTGAATCATTCATTTTAAAATGGTTAATTTTATGTTAGATGAATTTCACTTCAATAGAGTAATATTTTTTAAAAGATGAACTGGTAGCCTAACAAAATGGTATGCCCAGGAAAAACAGAATGCTACCTAATTATAGATTACAATAATCTTTTGTTCCTCATTGGCTTTTAATCAGTTCAGAGCAACTGGGCCTCTTATGGCCTTACCCAAAGATAATATACTCTTTATAAAAGACAGTTTTTATCTTAGCAGACACTGCAGTATTTATAGGTAAAATATTGTGTTACGAACAAAGTGTCCCCAAGCAAAGACAGGTGAAAAATGATTCAGAGAAATATCTAGACACTGGAGTTGCCACATCAAATATGGTCATCCTTTTCTGGCATCATCATTCCTTGCACTTAAAACTTTTGTCTCTGAAAGCAGAAAAAGTAAATATATTTATGAACCCCACTGTCACTTTTAAAAAGACATAAAATTCACTTAGCATACAACTAACCATTTTAGGGTGACAATTGAGTGGTATTTCGTGTATTCACAATGTTGTACAACTGCCAGCTCTCTTTAGTTTCAAAACTTTTTCAGCATCCCGTAAAAACACTTTATACTTATTAAATAATCACTCTACTATTTCTCATCACTTATCCTCTGGTAACTCTAGTTTGCTTTTTATCTCTTTGGAGTTTTGGAACTCTGCATATGGCAAATAAAATAAATCATACTAAATACAACCTTTGCGTCTGGCTTCTTTCATTTGGCATGCTTTCAAACTTCATTCAAGTTAAAGCATATATCAGTACTTCATTCCTTTTAATGGCTGAATAATATTCCAGTGTATGCATATAACACACAATTTGATTATCCATTTAACTCTTGATGGCCATTAGGGTTGATTCCATCTTTTGGCTAGTATCATGAATAATGCTGCTTTAAAAAACATTTGTGTATAAGTTTCATGTTGACATATGTTTTAGCTCTTTGGGATATACACTAAGGAGTGGAATTGCTGGGTCCTATGATAACTCTATGTTTAACTTATTGAGGAATCACCAAACTGTTTACCACAGGAACTGAACAATTTTACATTCCAAGTAGCAATGTATGAGGGTTCCTATTTCTCTACACTTTCACCAATACTTAACATTTTCCTTTTTAAATTTCATTATAGTCATCCTAGTAGGTATAAAATGGTATTGCATCTACCATGAGGTGGCCTTGATTTGCTTTTCACTATTGACCAATGATGCCAAACATCTTCATATGTCCCTGTTGGACATTTGTACATCTCCTTTGCCCATTTTCTGTCTTTTTATTGTTGAATTATAAGGATTCTCTGTATATTCTGATACTAGTCCCGTATCAAATCATGAATCCCTTTTGAAGGTAATGAGGTCTCAACTTGCATTAAACTCATTTTGCAAATGAAGTAAAGAAAAAAAGTTGAGCATCTTCTCCTCCAACAGGAACAAACAGCAATTCTACCTCTGAATTTCAAGTTCTTATCCCATAATCTGATCTCTGGGCTAGTAAATCAGCCTAAAGGCAGAAGAATGTATTTATCAAAGGCAGATAGTCTTATATTCCAATTCTTGGTTTGCCTAAGACTAATTTTGCTTGGCAAGAGGAATTAATAAAGTATACATTTTCTAAGTGTTAACAGAGCTTGACCTATTTTTACATCTGATGAAGAGTTTTATGATTCTACACATCAACTCAAATTGCCTCGTTTAATGAAAGTGATTTTAAGGAACAATCAACTTTAAAAGTGTGGAGGAAGACTAAGCACAATGCTTATCAAACCCTAGAATCTGTCATTTTAGAAAGGCAAGCAAAGTCCCCCAAATGATGCCAATATGCACAACCCTATCGCAAACTAGAACTGAGAACTGATCCCCTAGTAATAAGATCTAATATTATCTAAGCCCTTTACTCTGCCCTAAGCATTTCTTACAAACTTTATATAGCCAACTATCTTGTGAGCAAAGTAGTAGTATTCACTGTTCACAGATGAGGAAAACTGAGGCAAAGAGAAATAAAGCCACTTTCCCAAAGAAACACTGGTAGGAAGCAACGAAGTTAAAATTCAAACCCAGGTAGTCAGGTCCCAAAGCCTATACTTTTGATCAATATTACACCACCTCTCCAGTAATAGTTGCCCTGAAAAAGCTGGAACAATGTGGCTAACACCCAGAGGCAAGGCCTTACACATTTCAATAAAACTCACACAATAAATGGGTCTGATCACCACACTAGTCCTGAAAATAAGGCAAATCTCATAATTCCATGAAAAGAAAGGTAGTTTTAAAACTTGCCTTTAAAAAAAAAAAAAAAACTTCCCTTTTTTGAGATATGAGTATCAAAAGCATAATCCATAAAAGAAGAAAAAAAGGGTTAACTGAACTTGATCAAAGTTAAAAACTGTGCTTCAAAAGACACATTAGGAAAGTGAGAAGAGTAGCCACAGAGAAAAAAAATTATTTGGGAGAAAAATATTTGCAAATCATATATCTGATAAATACAATTTTTTTAAGTTTTTAAAAATTCAGTAATAAAATGGATACACCATTCAACTTAAAAATGAGCAAAGTGTCCATATAATTCACCAAAGAAGATATACTAATGGTTATACTAATGGCTAGCAAACATATGAAAAGACACTGAACATCGTTAGTCTATCAAAACCAAAATGAGATACCACTTCACATTCACTAGAATGACTATAATAAAAAAGACAGACAATAACAAGTGTTGGTGAGGATGTGGAGAAACTGAACTGCATATTGCTGGGAGGGTGTAAAATGATGCAGCCATTTTGGAAAAGTTTGGCAGTTCCTCAAAAAGTTAAACATGAAGTTTCAATACAACCCAGACATTTCACTTTGAGGACTTTACTTGAAAGAAATGAAAGCTTGAGTCCACATGCAGACTTGTAAGTGAACATCACAGCAGTATTATTTATAAAGGCCAAAAAATGGAAATAACCCAAATGTTTATTAACTGATGAGTGGATAAACAAAATTCAGTATAGAAATACAATGAAATACTATTGGGCAGCAGTAATAATATGAATAAACCACAAAAACAATAGCCAAGTAAAAAAGCCAGATGCGAAAACTACATATTTTATGATTCCATTTATAAGAAATATCCAGAAAAGGTAGATCTATAGAGACTGAAAGACAGATGGTTGTCTGGGATTAGGCATAAGGGATCTTTTTAGAGTGACAGAAATGTTCTAAAAGTACATTTAGATTATGGTAATGACTGTACAACTCCGTAAATTTACCAAAAATGACTGAACCGTACACTTGAAAGGGGTGGGGTTTTGGTATGTAAACTATACTTCAATACAGCTGTTAAATATAAAAATGTGTATGTCTTTTCTTTTTAAGAGCATCTTAGCAATCCTGAAATAAGTTTTCTCCTATAACTCAATTATCATGGAATATTTTATTTGACCCTCTGATCAACTCTTAGTTGACTCTGGATTTGATGACTTCCCAAAGGTCTTTCAACATATGTTAAGAATAACATGTACATTCAAAAATCTTCGTGGAAGGTAAGCTGTTATTTCAAATCGCTGAAGCAAATATCGTTTCTGTTAATAAATCATTATTAGGGCAACTGGATAGCCATTTAGAAAAAGAATAAAATTATACGTATTCACTGCAACAGACACAAGAATAAACGTCAAATTAAAGACTGAAATGTAAATAAACAAACTATACAAGGAAAAATAAATGGGTAAATTCTTCTTTAACCTGAATGCAGAAAAAGGTTTTCAAACTAAGACTAGAAATTCTGATGTAGTAAGAGATAAGACAAATAAATTTGATTCTTTAAAAAGAGAAAACTTTTATATGGCAGTAAATATAAGCAAGTCAAAAGACAAACAATACACTAGATGAAATATATATCACAGATAAAGGGTTAATATCTCTAATATAAAGAACTTTCAAAAATCAAAGGAAAATGACTAAACTACTATTGCAATTAAGCAATGGACAAAAGATATAAACAAGACACTTCACAAAAATAAAAATGACTCAAACATGGGAAGATGTACATGGTTATTCAAAAAAATTCCAATTCTCAGGAAATATATACTGAAGTATGAGTGTAAAGGGCTGTGAAAAATGCAATGCACTTTATAAAAGTTCAG